AAGTCGTACTCAGAGTACTTGTTACTCACTCATGAGTACTCATGTGAGTACTCAGTGAGTAAAAAAATGTATGAGTACGTATGAGTACTCGTCCGGTTTTTCCAGCAGAGTACTTTTTGAGTACTCACACTTGAGTACATTCACTAGGGTAATGTAATATGGAAACAAACAGAGACGTCAGATTCAAAATGAACAAAATTGCTTGACGGTCATCGTCGACTTCATACTCATCCGATGTTATTTATTATTTAACAGAAGAAAGCATCAATTGAATGTAAAATTTCGACCACACATTTTTTTGACACCCCAACTTTCATACACCGATACAATTGTCGAAAGAAAACGGATCAACAAAGCGTCACGTGCATTGATCAGAGATACGTAGGCGATGCATACCTTTATTTTCCTGCAAAGTATACAAAACCAGCTTGCATGACTCTACTCGTATGAGTAAACACGAAAGAAACAAATAATACAGGTGAAGTTGACTGGCATAGGCAAAATTTTGTGTACTACAAGCACATGCAAAATGCTTAGAAGTAAAGAGCTGGTAACAGAAACTATTCACGGGACACTTGTATTAAAATCTGATGAAAAGGTCCAACAGCCAACTTTTCTAGGTAATGAAAAGGTTTGCATTATTGTGCAACAGATGCAATCTGCATCCGAGTTTCCCGATTTACAAATGAAATATGTGATTGGTCAAAAAGAAATGAAGTTGTCCAAAAATCAACAATTTCCAATACCGTTTGTTATTGAATATCAACGAATGGCAGAAGAAACACTCATAACTATTGATGCAGCAATAATGAATGGTTATTATGGAATGTTCATTTGCGATTGTCCACTGAATAACAGCAACGACGAACGAAAAGGTCTAGTCGTTCAAGATGACATGGAAATTGTAATGATGAACTATTTTACATACTCCTGTAGACGTGGAGAGCAAATTCAGCGCAAGTACGTTGAGAATATTAGACATGTGAAAGCTACCATTACACTCGATTCTGAAGAAAAACATCGTGAGTTTGAAAACTGTGTACTTGATATACAAGTCGAACATAGAGACAATCCGAATAATGAGAAAACCAAATATGACAATGATTTTGGTTTTGATAATGATGAACAGACAAAGATTCTTGATAGTTCAGAGCCATTTCTACTTACATACGGATATCACTTTCCTGCTCATCACTGGTTAACATTTTCAGCTCATCTACTCAATGGTGATTATGTTATTTGTGCTTACATTTATCATGTTGAACGAAACGGACGTAAAAAGCTGTTATGTAAACATAAGCATCCAGTTCCACTCGAAAACGAAAATATTGTTGTTAATTTGGTTCGATGTGATTATACTAATACAGAAGAAAAAGAAAACAACGGGACATCAGACAAAATTGATAGATCGTGATTCAACTTCTGCCCGTACTCATTCATTTTTCGCATGATCGTATGTATAAAACTTTTATGTTTTTGTCAATTTTTAAAAAACTAGTGCTTTGATAATAACTATTGTGCCACCTCAATACGGCATTGTTTGTGAGAATAAAAAATGGAATGACGAGTCGATTCGCACGCGTATTACAGCGATGCAAATAAAAATTATTTGCTTGTAAAACGGACGATCAGTTAACGAAGTTGCAAAAAACAAAAGATAATGCTTATCTAGAAATCATCCAAGCTCAGTTATCTGTGCTAGTAAGTGCAATGAGCAAAGTAGGACAAATATTTCTACGACTATCAGCAAAACTAGTGTATGTGATATATGCTGATAAATAATCAATAATCAGCAAGTGTTACCATCATCAATTGAAACATTTTCTTTCATCTTTTCGCACCTACACAATGACAACAGCATCATCTCAGACTCCTTCTAAAAGAAGGAGCTTCGTTAGAGCAAACATTTTTACGACTTTTGGAGAAAATCGGAGGTCCTAAAGTTATTGCGTTGCTGAGATATGCAATTCAATTGCATGTCTCAGCAACGATGGTGGAATATTAGTTTCTTAAGGCTTTTCCTAAAAGTTTTAGGAAAAGCCCTAAGAAACTAATATTCCACCATCTGAAAAGATTGTCAATTTAAACTACGTATAACTTCTTAGTGACATATGACTTAATCTAATCAACTTTATCATAAATACTAGATAGTGTCTGCTACAAATTCACACAACCGCGAGCTCCAGACATGTTTTCGTTCGTGTACAGTAGATGACGCTGTGAAAGCCCAAATTATCGATCTGTACATTTTGATGATGATTTTCTCGCACACTATGATATTGTTGGAATACACCAAGTGTACTATAATGGGGCACCGGTGGTATTTTTAGGATCTCTTAAAACCCGCGGAAAGCCACCTGAGGTTGCTAGAAACCAAAATATGAAATTTTTCAATTAAATGTATTTTTTATTCCACATCAGTGTCATTCAGCTCTTACTGTCACATGTCCCATATAATCGAACAACATGTGAATAAATGAAATACATATTGTTTCTTTTATGATGTTTCTTGATACGTTTGCAGAATTAATCCTATCATTGGTTATTTAATTTCGTTTTTTGTTCGGGTTTTCCTACTTATATTATTCTTATTCTCACCTACATTATATTTGTCATTTTTGAATAATATAGATTAGAAGTTTATTTTGTTAGATATAAATATAGTCAATAAAATTTAATTCTATGTTGCTTGTATTTTATATCTATACATTCATCTATGATACGTTGGTAACCATGTTGTTTGGAACTAATAGTTGTTGTTTTTTATTATTGTTTTTAACTTGAATTTGAACAAAATTTTATGCATAAATACAAAGGAAAGCACCAAAAGTCATAGACTTGTAATAAAAGTACGAGCGCACAAAAAAACGACAATCCTAAAAAGGAACACAGGTACAAGAAAGAAACTAAAAAAGACATTTAATCGATGAAGAAGAAACAGATTTAAGAAAACAACAACAAGATAAAACTTAAATGTGCAGAAGATCTAAATGCTCGCTTAACAGAACCATTTGTTGTTGATGAGACGACACTTTCTGGCAGGAAATTCCAATTAGTTGCAGTTCGATAAAGGCTAAATGTTCTTTTTGTTACTGAAGTTACTTTGAACACTGGAAATTGTTCCAAGACTCACTTTTCCTGCACTTCTTTTTCGATCGTAAAGAAAATGTTCGACGTATATGACGATAGTAGAAAAGACCAGCTAAAAGTGTATATTTTTCGATGACGCTGTACATCACCGCTGTTGCGCTCACTCCGGTATTATCGAAAACACCTACACTTTTACTACGATTCATTATTACGGGATAGGGGATGCTTTAAAATGAGTTATTTCTTTTTAATGATTTATTACCTAAATATGGTTCACATAGCATTTTGTTTAGTTTTTCATCGGCTATTTTTCTATGTGAGAGGTTACCCGAACTTCCTGCTAGATTTTCAGAAGAATTAGTTCTAGTGAGAATCCTGGATAAAACTTGCTTAAATATCAAAGTCATCGAAATCACGTATCTCCTCGTGCATCACTTCAGAAAATGGATTTAAAAAGTTTTTTGTCAGGTTCAACGGTTCAATTTAACTGAAAAATATGTAAAATCGTTTTCTCTATGCAGTCCGATTAAAACTAAGGCAAAACAACAATGAGCAGAAATCGACACATATCGACTCACGTCTTTTGTATTTTGCTGAGCCTTATTATGGGCTTCTCCACGTGACCCAGCCAAAAAAGTCACGTTTTGAAATAATTATACCTCCACAGTGAAATAACCTAACAGCCTGGGCAATGTCTTATTTTGTATAATAATACACTGCTATTGCACTACAACTCATGCGTTCAAATGAGAAAAAAATATATTTTACTCATTCTCGATACAGAAGTCGTTTTGTCTTTTTCTTTCAAACAACTTTGAAATTCGCCCTAAAGTGTAATTCTATCAGAAAAATATGTCTGATGATTACAGACGATCTATGTTTCTGGCTCTAAAGTATCTGATCTAAAAAGGGTGAAATTCTGCTCGTTATCGGTGATTTTCATTTCGACGATGATTCAAAAAAACTTGCGCAGTATCACAGATTGTAGAGCTCATCTTCCTCTAGAATCATTTTTCCATCGGTCATTAAACAAACAGTTTTTCAATACATTTACTCTAATCATGCTCCGTATCCAAGAACTACTTCATGCTGGTAGCCTCCTCATAGTTCCTTAACCATATGACAGAGTTTGACAAAAAGTTCGTTATTGTCACAATATGAGGTGCCATGCACGAAATAAGAACCAAAAATGAAAAATAGTAATTCAGTCAAGAGCAGGACTTCTGGAAAGTCATTTTTCTAGAAAACAAATGCCTCTGCACAAAATCTTTTTCATTGTCTGATACTTTCAGCACATAGACCTGATCAAAATGCTGTAGTCAAAGTTTTACGCTTATGCTGTTAATCTTCATGAAACTACAGAAACTTCTTTCACGTAAAAGTAGTCTAAATCATAACTTCGGAACCAAATTTCATAAAACTTCGATCATGCGCTTATTTTGATTAGCTCAATAGCTGAAACGGTCAAACAATCAAACAAATTTTGTGTGGAGACATTTATTTTTTAATTATTCAGATATCAATTAGAATCGAAACCGACAAACTTTCTAACGAAATCGTTTCCACGAACATATTCAACGAAATGATTGATTGATTGATTGATTGATTTTTATTTCGACAACAGCAGTTTTGATTGAAAACTAATAAGAGCTAGGTAATCGATGTCCATGTAGAATCAAAAATATTTTTCTTGCCCATCAAACTTCTGAAACTCCTGATGACTAATTGTTGAAGCATTTTGCTCTAAGACGTGTTTTTTTCCTTTCGTTCTCTTTCACTGCTCTTTGACATTTTCATTGCTTTTATCCGTCCTTGATATGTCCCTATAAAAAGAAATTTTGTGTGGCAGGACCTGAGAACAAGTCTGCCATTCAATTCCGGCAGACGAAATTCTCACGAGCAGGTATGCACAAGTATTTTTGTACATTGACTGTGCACTTCTTCTTCTGGATTTCATCACCTTTATTTCACATCTATATTAAGCGGTGTTATTCACAAAGTCAGATAGGCTCGAATAGTCGTCGCCTTTCATTTTTCTTGTCACCGTTTACTTTTCATCTTATAAAAATATACATTTTTTACGAGTTACAACGATAACCCGTCAGGAAAAAGATCCATTTCTGAAATCGACTGGACAAACGATTAAGCAAACACTCTTTTACATACGATTTAACTTAGAGCTTTAATGAAGTTCCCGAAAAGCTGTGAGAATAAATTCAGAACAAGTTAAAACCTCTTTTTCTTTTCAAATCCAAAGCTCAAGCATGTCATTAGTCTTTCGAGATCCTGAAATGGGTGTCATAAAAACTTGAGAGTTCAGACAACTGTCGTTTAGTCATATGAAGTTTCTAGGTTAATCGAAAGATGTTTTCTTTCGCTACTAGATACTTTTTGGGTTGGAAATTCTAAATAAACTCTTAAGTTGGAGTTTTTCGCAAGTGAATATTTTTGTTATGTATATGGAAAAATGTTCACGGTTTTCCTCGCTTCTGTAAAATTTTCAAAAGTTTTTGAGTTATCGTTGAAAGTATCTGCTAATCTCTCAATCTAATTTTTCTACAATTAATAAATGATTCGCTCCCTTAAAACATTGCAAGTACTTCATCTATAATGAATAAAAGTACAGAAGATGTTCAAACAAAAAATTATTTGTCGGTTTAGAGGAAATATTTCGAAAGAGAAGAAAAACATTGAAAGAACTTACAAAAAAGAAGAAAAATGAGTTTTGTGATAAGTCCTGTTGAACTTCAAGTTCGAGCAAACGTTGAATTAGCAGTGAAATTGAAAGATTACCAGCAAACATATCCCCATTGTACAGATTTCATTGCTCCATTTTGTCAATATCAAAGAACACAAATGATCTACGATAAGGATGATTCCACATTATGGAAGATTTTAGCACTATGCAATATTTTTCAACGTTCGATCTGATCTGTTTATCCAAAGATTAAAGGAGATGCTGATGAAACTGGGATGTCGGATCTTCTTAATAAAACATTTTATCCATTTTCAACAACTAAATTGATAAAGTCAACATCAACAATCACTCTAATGTGGACACACACAGCCGAAGAGGATACTGTACGTGAAATCGATTATGGCATGTGGGTACAAAATCATTTATTCCACTAGTTTATGATGATGACATAAAATCATCGTTTACAATTGAACCACTGGTTAGATGCTTTAAAATTCAATTAATCTTCACATTATATAAAATTTTGCGGTATATTTTAGACCAAAAAAATCAGTTATCATCACACGTACAAGCAAGAGAATCAAAAGTAAAAGTGTGTGAAGTAAGAATACTGCAATAAACTCTAT